GCAATTTTCGAGGATCCTTCTGCACAAAAGCAATTAGAGCACATTACTTCAGAAATTGAATCGCATATGGAAATTACAAAGCTTGCGCATCCAACGGCAGTGACTCCAATACCAGGTTCTGGTGAAGCTATCACTGAAACTTCTGTTGCCCAGGACAATGGAATTATAACGGGGGTTGTTCCTGAGGCGCCAACAGAGCCTGCGCTTGCCGAACTTGCTGCTCCTTCGCAGCCCATCATTTCATTACCTATAGTCTCGGTCTCTGGGGCGCAGTCAGCGTCTATAATTTCGATAAGCCGAGAAAATACCACTCTTTTAGCTAACGAATCTGAAGCCTTTGCACTTGCTCCTATCGATACCAGCTGTGTGACAGGCATAGAAATAAAACGGCAAGTCCTCATTCCACGCATTTGTGTTTATTGAGTTGCGCATGTCTAATATATCTTTACATTGCTTGTTATGTTTAGTGGTGGAAAACGCAAACGCAGACTAGTTATCGATGAACAGAAGTCAATACCCAGTGAGGTAATGAAAATACAGATGCAAGATACATCCGACATAACTACTCAACTTGATCTGGCTCCACCTACCAAAAAGCTAATGTTTTGGAAAGAGACCGGGAGCGTTGATAAACTTTTTAGCCTGCCTGGAAAAGCCATTCCTTCTCGTATCCTACAACGCCTATTCACTCGAAATCTCATCACACTTACTATCCCGGATGACTCTCCTGATGAACAACAGTCATACTTGTGTGTTAACTTGCAGGCTTCTTTCATAAATCGGACTACCAATGCTCGAATTCAAAAAGTATATTTTTAAAAACTTTGATTTAGAGCCCTACTTTATCAATTGTATCATATGATTCATTCTCTATTTTAGCTCAAGCAAATGCCCGCCGAGCAACCCCAGAATTCTGATTATGATCAAAATCTAATGCCTCCACCTCCCACTCCAAGACCTGTTCCAGAAAATCAACAACCTCACGTTCTTAGTGATATTAGTGAGCAAACCGAAAGAACGAGTTCCCTCCAAACGGAAAGTAAAGATATAGGTTAGTTATTTATAAATAGTAACTTTAATTTTTATTATACA